TTTGTTTCTTAAGTAGAAAAGCAGGACTTGCTTCCTCAGTGTCTCTGGGTGTGCTTGAACCTCCATTCCTTTAGTCTGTTGAGTACTTCGCCATTTGTGCCACCCAGGGACCCTGTATTTACTGTAAAGAATTACTTAAAAAGCAGTAACCCCATGAATCAACTGATATTTTACCTCCTTATTCATCTTGTTGGAATCCACAATTAACACCCTTGGTATCAGCAGTCAGGAAATAAGGAGATACATTGCACTGGGAAAATCTGCAGTTAGGGACCTTTCCAAATTATTGTGGAGTAGTGATGTCAGTTTGAAGACTAAGGTGCATCTGATTCATGCTATAGTCTTTCTGATTACAAGCTTTGCATATGAGAGCTGGACAGTGAATAAGGATGACATAAAAAGAATTGACACTTTTGAGCTGTGGTGTTAGAGAAGAGCACTGAACAACCAATGGATCGCCAAGAGAACAGATATGTCTTGGAGAGGGTGCAGGCAAGTGCTCTTTGCAGGCAAGAATAATGAGGCTTCACCTCACATGCTTTGAGTATGTTGCTAGGAGGTGCTATTCCTTGAAGAAAACATGATGCTGGGAAGGGTGGAGCATCAGCGAAGGAGAGGAAGACTCTCAACCAGGTGGACTGACATGGTGACTGGTGCAATGGGCTCTTGTGTGTCAGGAAGTGTGAGAATGATACAAGATAGAACGGAGTCCAGATCTTTTGTTCATAGAGTTGCTGTGAGTCGTGCTCAACTCAACGGCACCTGACAACAACAACAAATCCTCTGATTTATACATATTCAAACAGTTTTGGTTCTAGAATGTTCTGTTTATTTGTAACCCATCCTACGTGCCTCAGTCTCACTCTGGACAATCTCGAAGAGTGACTGGACATCTGGACATCTTGGATTGCAACTGATTTCTGGATGTCCTTGGATAAAAAAGCTAGATGAGAATATAATGTTCACTTTTGTCCCCAAGTGTCTTTCTGAGGCAAAATTTTATAAGGCTGAAATTCTCACTTTGAGCCATTCTCTAGTGCACGTGTTCTCTGCCCCTGGAGGGTCTGGCATGGAGATTTTGAGGGGCTAAAGAAAGGAACCAAGGTTTCAAAATTACTTGCTTATGATACTGACATCCCCAAATGTAACACATAATTCTCAGGCATCATCCTAGTCATGAAATTTTGTTGGCCACTGCTATATTATTGTCACAGAAAAATCACCCCAGTTTCCAAGCTCTCCTTTTCCAACAGTAAGGGCCTCTTGAAAAATATCTTCTGACAGTCTGTTTACAAATTATTTCCTTTGCCCAGTGTCTCCCCAGATACCCCTCACTGCTTCCCTCCAAGCTCTGAGCAAGTCAACCTTCCCCTGGGCAAATATAGGCAGTATATTTTTCTATTGCTTCTTTGAGAATAAGCTCTGTCACATAATTGGCTTTATCATAAGAACCAATATTTTGCGTCTTCAGGACAAAACAAAACAGAAAACTCATAGTTCTGCCACAAAGACAAACTCATTTCAAAGTGTGTGAGCTTGTGTATGTATGTGATATAGTTAAGATTATATTCCACATGAAACTGTTTGCCATTTTTCATATATTATAAGCATTTCCTAAGCATTAAAATAATTTGTTATTTTCCAGTTGTTAAAAACATTGTTTGTTTTTTGGATCAAATGCTTATTTAATTCTAGGCAACAGCCTAATTATCCATTTTCTTAGGTTGTAACCATGATCAGTAAGAGGTTCTGGTGTAGCCCAAAGTGTGTTGTCTTGTTAACTAAAAGGCCTAATGTCTCAGATAGCTTGACCCCCCCTTTGGCTCTGAAGGAGAAAGGTGGGCCAATTCCTCCTATTAAGATTGGCAAACTGGGAAACCCAGGGAGAGGTGTTCTGAGTTGGATCTGACTTGATGGCAATGGGTAAGTTAGGGATCCTTGTAGGTTTACAGAGCATACAAGAGCATATAATGGATTATTGTTGTTGTTGTTGTTTAATGATAGTGTTTAGTGAGTTGTTAGAATTTCCAGGGAAGCCCTGAATTGTCTCTGGTATAGAGAGAAGAGTGGACACAGCAGACTCTAGGAAGAATGTGTACGTATTTCCTGTGCCCCCTCACAGATGCAAAAGGATTCTTTTTAGAGAATGTTTTCAGTCCATGAAGTAGTTCCTTAACCGGGCCAAGCAGAGGTAGATATATTACAAGCTCAAATGCACGAAAGTCTTGGTCACTGCTGAGCTTTCTTTCTGAGTAGTTACAGTGGTTTCTCGTTGCTGTTAGTGTCAAGTCGGCTTAAAAGATTAAGTCAAAGTTAGTTGTAAGTCTACTTATATCAAAACTAACTGAACAGCATGTTTAGCAATCACACAGCAGAGTGAAATGTTGCCTGATCCTATGTTATCTACCTGATATGTCTGAGTCCATTGTTTCTATTGTGTAGTGCCTTCCACCCTCAGGGCCTCATTTCACTAAAGTGGGTAATCTTCTCTTACGATCTGTAAGGTCATGGCTAATTTTAAGAATTATCTCTCTTGGCCTTTCTTAGTAGGCTGTCTTACTGTGGAGGCTCTCCTGACACCTGTCTGCCATGGGCTATCATGGGAAACCCTGCTGGTATTTGCATTACTGATAGCATAGCTTCTGGCATCACAGAAGCACAAAGGACAAACATCCTCAGTAGGACAACCTGCCATTTTGAAGGAGGCTTAGGAACCTTGAGCAATCTCTTCTCTTTAGTTGGAACATCTGCAAGTCAGATGTTTAAATGTAGTCCTTTGTGGTGCATGATAGCAAATCTGAATTATAATTCTCCTGATGACACTTGGAGTATCTGAAGGACCTGCTCTGTTCCCATCAACCAAGCAGCAACATTCTCTTGTTGGTTACAGATTCCAGTTGCCACAAAGCAAGGAAAATGGAGGACAGAACCAGTTCAAAGCTGGAAAATGCACTGTGTAGTCATCAAATAGATAGGGATATAAGCTGGTAGAGATAGGATCTGGAGGGAACAGTGTTTTAGCACAAAGCTATAAACTGGATAAAATTGGGGCCAAAGAAAAATTAAAATAATAAAAACACCATAAATAAAAACAGAAATGGGGAACGAGTTCAAAATAGTACTTTTGGGTTTTTCAAGGTTTGTCTCCCCACCCTCCTTCTCCAAATAGCAGGTAGAGGGATGCGTGTGTGTCATTGTGTGCATATATCTATGTATTTGTTCATTGAAACTATTCTACATACACATTGGTTTTCATTTGAATCTCTAGACTACATTGGCAAAGAAAACTAATTTAGACAAGTCATTAATTTATCAGCTTTCAAATACATGCTATTTGTTGGAAGTCCCATGAAATTGACATATGAAGTGACATCATATACCGAGACATAAAGCAACATGGTTCTCCAAACACTTGCAAAATGAAAAGCAAATGTTTGTTTTGGGCCTCGTTGCGCCTATCAGATCTGTTGGCACATCCTTCCCTGGCTTAACTCTTACTCCTTCAGTATTCAGAACAGTTCCTTCCTTGATGTTCTCATTTTCTTGCCCTGATCTGGTGTTGACTGGAAATTGCCCTTTTTATTCCAATTTTTTCATGATTTAGGCTACTTTTTCCAAATGATTTTCTCATTTCATAGTGCTTTGAAAACAGATAAAATATCTTTGCATGGAGCATAAATCAGCGTTAATCCATCTTGCCTACTTTGGGCATGTCACCAGGAGGGACCAGTCTTTGGAGAATATCATCATGCTTGGGAGGATAGAGGGTCAGCACAGGAGAGGAAGATCCTGGATGAGATGGATTGACACAGTGACTGTGGCAATGGGGTCAGATAGGTCAGAGGTGGCTCAGGATAGAGCCATTGTTCATATGGTCACTGGGAGTCATAGCTCAATGGCATGTAACAACAATATTTTTTTGGAAAAGAAACGATATTCAGTTTTCCATAACCATCTTTGTAACACTATAATATATAAATTCCCCGTAGTGTATTTATGTTAAGGTTTCCCTTACCTGACAGGTGCCATTTCCAAGTTTTACTGTATAAAACCTTACCCAAGCCTCAAAGCTTCATAAATTTGAAGTAATGATATTTTGAGATGTTGAATTAATTAAAATTTCTTAATTTGCCAGTTTTCAATATATTTTTATTAAAATTTAGAAAACACATAAAAACTGTTTGCAAATAATAACTTTATCAACACTTGAATTTCTGATGGTAATACACATGTATATTTGACAGTTTTGTTATTTAGAAATACATGAATGTTGATCATTTTCTTTGAAACCTTGTATAACATTAGAAGAGTATCTGCTTCTAAATATTTTAAATTAGCTAAATGCAAGTATTATTGATGAAATAGAAATAATTTGTGTATTTGATTTATGCTGCTGTTTTAAAATTTTATGTCATCCTTATTTGTGTTATGAAGTTAGGCCAGTTCTACTTAAAAACTTAGCCCCATTTTTTCATCTCCTACATTTACACCATAGTAATGCTTTAAAAAAAGTAAAAATTTTTAAGAGTTATGTTCTCTGTTTGGGAGCTCTGGGGGTACAATAGTTGGTAGGCATTTGTAGTGCTGACTCAAAGGTGATACCTCACTGGTGGTTCAAATCCACCAGCGGGCTTTGCTGGAAAAAAGATGAGCTGTTTATTGTTTCCCAGATCTGCTGGAGGGTCAGCTGTAAATTGATTCTGACTCAAGAACAATGAGTTTGAGGTTTTGATTGTACTTTTATTATATTTTTAAAATTGAAAAAATTAATTTTCTTTTTAGGAGTGATATAAATTATGCATGTGTATATAATTATCAGAAGTATTACAGTTCAAGGTTGGGTTTTTGTTTGTTTTTTTTACACAAAAGTTTATTTCCCTTAATGTATCTCTGCTAAGGGCCCCCTTACTTGACAGATGCCCCTTACTTAGGGGCCCTGATTTCCCCTTGAGTCCTTGGCTTGGTTTGTGACCCTGCTTTTGTCTCTCACTCACCCACAGAGCCTGGCGTTTGCACGGTTTTCGGAGATCCCCACTACAACACTTTTGACGGACGGACATTTAACTTTCAGGGGACATGTCAGTACGTTTTGACAAAAGACTGCTCCTCCCCTGCCTCGCCCTTTCAGGTGCTGGTGAAGAACGATGCCCGCAGAACGCGCTCTTTCTCCTGGACCAAGTCAGTGGACCTGGTGATGGGCTCCAGCATCGTGAGCCTCCAGCAGCACCTGGCTGTGCGCTGGAATGGCACTCGCATCGCGCTGCCCTGCCGGGCGCCAGACTTTCACATCGACCTGGACGGCTACCTCCTCAAAGTGACCACCAAAGCAGGTGGGGCTCTGGGAAGCAGCCTCTGCGGACTTCCTTTCCACCTCATCTAATCCAGTGCCCAAGAGGCCTGGTTCCCCTCTGCCAGCTGCAGGCATTGCCTCATCTCTGCCCTGAAGTGATGGGGAGATCTCAGGGAGGCTGCACAAGAGCTGGAGATATTGGCACCACATGGAGCCTTGCAATTGGATGCCAGGCACGCCAGTCTTGCAATCAGGACATGCAGTGCCTTTCCATGCTCTTTTCAAAAATAGCAGTGGGGTCCTGCCAAATAACCTTTCACTTGTGCTTTGGTGCTATTTTGGGACATTAATGTCCAGCTTGGAATTATCAGTGCATTTCACATCTGTGAAAATCAATGTTTGTTTAGTAGCATCTGTCCAAAAAGAGAAATTCTTAAAAGTAAACAGTTATTAACTGTGTTAAAAAGAATCATCTATGTCCACAGAAGAAAGAGCCTGAGATCAAAGAGTCCTGGGGACCTTATGCTGGCGGCTGCCCCATGCTTTGGAAGATAGGGGCCAGGGGGAGAGGAACCGTATGTGACCAGCAGTTTTCTCCCATGGATACTGGAAAGGGTTGTTACTGGGCTTACAACTTTTACGTAGGATGCTGGCTCTTGACAGGTCTCTCACAGCTGAGGCATGGTGCCAGAGAACTAGCTAATAAAGTTCTCCCTCTCATCTCAGCCTGCCCGAGGCTCGCTGGACCCTGTTTTTGCCTCTAACAAACTTTTTTCACACGCCACAAATGATTTGTGACTAATAACCAGTTACCCTTAGTAATCCAATGAGATTCAAATTCTCCTTGTCTGCGAGGCAACCTAAAAGAGACATTTTCAAAGCCTAATTCAGTCCTTCAGATATCAGACCAAAGAATGTATTCAGCTGGTTTACACATTTTGTTATGACATATGTAGTCATGCTGCCTTTAGTGAACACATTGTTTGCCAATGGGATATTGAACTGTTTATCCTCTTAGCATATGCTATTTCTTTGTGCATGATTCTTATAAGAAATCATGGCATGGATTGTTTTTAAACTTGGTGATGTTGTTGTTGTTGTTAAGTGTCGTCAAGTCATAGGCAACTCATAACAATGAATGACAGACCTGAACACTGTTCATAGGGTTTCTGGAAGCAAGCCTTTTCGGAAGTGGTTGCCATTCCTGTTTCCAAGTATGTTTTAATCGGGAAGCTCCACCAAACACTGTCCACCAAACTTGGTGATAATTAAAAATAAATAAATAAATAAATAAGTATGACTTAGGTTCTAATTTCTCTAGATGACCTGGATTAAAAAGGCAAACTTGATTGTAGCCTAGTTGTAAGGAGCTGTGCGGCTAACCCAAAGGCACACAGTTCAAATCTGCCGGCTGGGCCATCTCCTCCTGTACCATTTACTGAGCATGGCAGTTTCAACTATGAGTTGGTTCTGACTCAACAGTATGTGATGACAAGACAGAAAAATAAACAAAGCCCTAAAGGCGCTTGGCTGCTAACTAAAAGATTGATGATTTGAACCCACCAGCCACTCAGTAGGAGAAGAATACAGTAGTCTGCTTCTGTAAAGAGTCACAGCCTTGAAAACACATCAGAGAAATTTTACCTTGTCCTGCAGGCTTGTGGAAATGGGTGCAGTGACATTGGTATAACACAGTTTGGTTTGAGTAGAGATGCAAGGAGTCCCTGAGTGATGAGAACAACTAAGGCATTTGACTATCTACCAGCATGTTGGGGTTCAAGTCACCCAGAGGCATGGTCTGTAAGACACATTTCCTCTCTGATGCAATGTCATGAGTCAGAATCAACTCAGGGTCAGATGGCTGTGTGGGGAAATGAAGCTGATTAGCAGACTGGAGGTTTCTTGGTTGTTGTTGCCTTTTTTTTTAAATTGTGTCAGTTCAAGGAAACAGTGCATTTTGATGAATTAATCTGAACCTATAGACTGCCAGCTTAGCTAAGCAAATGCAGATAACCCAGAGGACAGCTGGTTAGAAAGCAGGGAGCTGGGAGAGAGAAGGTTAAAGATGAAAATACGGTGATATTCCCATTTCTTAACTTTACAGAGTGGCAGATGTAAAGAGCTTTACTCATTCAACTTTAACAGCATTAGTCCTCCTCAGAAAATTTGGACACCTGTTCTTGTATCCAAACGACATTACAAATGTAGGCCTCTACTCATTCCTTTAAAGGAGGCAACAGTTGTGGCTTCCTGTAAAATGTGCTCGAGATTACACATTACTGCACTGCACTAATTAGAAGCACCCTGTCTATCTGTATGCAAGCCAGCTAGACACAGTGAATTCTACTGATATGGAAATTATTAGTCACCCACAGCTCAAAGGGATGGATCCTGGATGCCTCGAGATTGCTAACAGCCTAGGTGGTTCAATACCGGTCCGCGCACAGCTGGCAAGACCATATGGGATAAGTGTACTCTTTGTGAGGATTCCACACTGTAAAAGAATGAGTGAAAAGACTAGGCTAAGAAAATAACAAGAGATAAGAAATGCCATAATTAGATTCGTACATTTAACTTTTTTAGGTCTTTTACAATGTCTTCTGTTTTTCCAGCTCTTCTACCAGGACCCAAGTAATTTACAGGATTCTCTTATTACTTAAGTGAGCAATTTCTAGTAGCTCAAGAATCACGCAAGCTTTCTGCTTCCCCTGAAGGAAATCAGTTCCTCTGGGCACAGCACCGGCTTTGCAAAGATCATTTGAATGTAGCAATTCCATTCCTGGATGCTGATGTCTTCCACCCTGGTCCAGCAATCTGTTTGTACTACCCCTTAGGGATATTTGCTTTCTATCTCTAGTGACTCTAGTCCATTTAAAATATTTTGGTATTTATTTCCTTAGAATGTTCTTCTTCTATAGGTTTTTCATTTCATAAACTCATCCAATCAAAGGGTAGTTTCTTAAAAATAGCAGTTTATAGGAAACTTTCACTCAGAGACTAGGAAAGTGGCTGTCTTCATCCTTGGCTTATGAACTCCACCTTTCATGGCAGGACGTTGAGTAGAGGAGTGTAGGGAGTGCTATCACTGGGGTGAATTTAAGATGTTGCTGCTTTTACCTAACAGGAGCTAGGGCATAGAGTGGGCAGGGCAAGGCTTAGTGACTGCCTCCTTAGTGACTTTGTCCTCCAACTCATGACACTTAACATACAGTTTTAAAAGATTCCATTTCTGCTTCTGGTTCACTTCATCAGCTCTACCACCTGAAAGAGTTACATCAGATCCACCTGACAGAATGAACATGGGGGACCATGTTTATCAAATTGTATTTTTCATAGAACTCTTCACTTGGATGTGAATGTGGAGAATTTAGCCCCTTTGTTGCTGTTGTGATTTTTTGTGTGTGTTTGTGGAAAATCCAAAACTAGGAAAAAAATTATTTTCTGTTAGTGACTTAAATGTTGGACTACCACCTAAGGGTTAGCGGTTTAACTCCACTGAGAGGCACTTCGGAAGAAGACCTGGTGGTCAGCTTTCAGAAAGTCACAGACGTTGGAGACCCTGTGGAGCATTGCACTGCTCTGAAGCGTATGAGGGCAGGCACAAGTCAGTGTGAGCTCAACAGCAGTGGCTTTTATTATTGTCGTTTCTCATGGTCCAGCTACGAATGCTGTGCTTCCCCTTTCCTTTCCATGAACAAGAGGAACAGCAACAATTACAACTAAGAAACAAAATAAAGCAAATAAATGACCACTAACACACACACACACACACACACACACACACACACACACCCCACCACCACCAACAACAACAACAACAAAACAAACCTGCCAAAACGAAATAAAAGTTATCTCTGTGGAGCAAGGTCACACACTCAAAGGGGTGACGTACGAGTGGGTAAAGCATTCACGAGTGAGAAGGGAAAATTGGAAAGCCTTTCATTACTGTGGAAGGAATGTGGCTGCTCCTCACATCCCCAGATGGGACATATGCTTCAGCTTTCAACCTTCCAGTTGTGCCAATGATTTCTACCCAATTTCCCAGGCATTGGCTTAGGAAACTCAACCCAGCTGCAGGAAGGAATATTCCTCATCCCTCAGACACTTCCAGGATGTTTTCATCTCATAAGATGCCTATTTAAAATGTCCTTTGGAAGAGCAGTCCCTCAATTACAGCTTATTAGATTCCCCCCCCCCATTCACTACTGTAATCTACTTTGCATGGATTTTACTCACGTAGAGATTAAAAACTCTTCACACAAACACATATGTGTACTCTACAGCCACAGGCAAAGGCCTCTCTCCAGGATGTGTAGCCAAGGATTGGTCTGTGAAAACCCTTTTGATATAATAATAACAAAAAGAGGAAAGCAGAAAGAAGAGTGGAATATAAATTCTTCTCTTACTTTGGGCTCCAGGTTTTATGAGAGAGGCATCAGTGTTCTGAAAGGATCTTAGCAAAAACAGCGGATGTGCATCATTTCAAGCGTGGGCTACCAGATCCCCAAGAAGAAAGAATATAGCAGTGGCTTTGTTCACTGGAATTCCAGGGAACCATGTCCAGAATCTTAAATTTATTCCAGCATGGTTAGAAATGACATTAGAGTGCTTTTAGGTGTAAATTTTCAAACGTTTTTGGCATTTTGAAGAAGAGCATTTATTTGCCTGCTGTCTAGGAAAGAGATTTGTAGATTGGAAAAATCTCCAGCATGGAAAAAATGGAAGTATGCCCTAAAAGCTGAATATTATACAGAGTTTAGTTTTCTTCTCTTTTTTTCTCTTGCTGGGCAGCTGTCTGACTACAAGCTTGTGAGGTAAAATTCCTTCTATCCATATCCTAGAGAATTTATTGCAAATCCTCTTAGTAACTTGCTCATCTTTTTTCAAAACAATGATTTCAGTTTCTTAAGTATCATGAGACTCACAATTCCTTTATCTTCACAGAATTTGTGTTCTATTACACATCATGTATTGAGAGCATACTCTGTGCCATGCATGTCGGGCAGTGAAGAAATAGAAATTGTTTTATATGATAGTAGTTGTTAGAATCAGCATCATCTTTTACTGAGAGTCACATGGTAGGTTAGTCCAACATGTGCATACTCCAGTCATGTGTCTTCTCTCATCACCTGGTTCCACCTTTGTCCTTATTTCACCCAGTTGTCTCTAGCAGAGATCTTCCTTGGACCTAGTTTCTGGTTTCTTTGTTCAGCTCTGTTTTCTCCTTTTCTGAACTCAGTCTCTTCTCTTGGCCTAAAGCCAAGGCTCTTCTACTATCTGCCATGACATGAGAATGCTTTCCTTTTACCTAACTATGCTTTGCATATGAACCTTTCTGTTTAGTTTTGGGAGAGATATGGTTTTAGACCAATGGTTGTTTCAACCAATGTCTCTTCCCGAAGAGGATCTGTAACTCTTGTGACAGCTCTGTGGCCTGCTCAGAGGAATGTTATTTATTTCATGTTCTTTCGTGTAGCCTACGCCCAAATTTATGGAGTGTTGAGACTTTCTTTTCAAGGTAAGATCATCTTCCAGGTGGCACGATCTTTATCAATAAAATGACCTCCACTCAAGAAAGTAGAGCACCTAGACCCATTTTGGTTTGGTTAGCTGACCATCTACACTGTTAGAGGACTTGTTTGAAAACTTTCTTATATTTCCAGACATGCTGATACAACATTAAGTTAGTTTCATATGAAGACATGGTCTTTCTCTTCCTCTCTCTTCCTGTTACTAACTTATCTTTCCATCACTTTGAGCCTCCTCTGATCATATGCTCATTAGTTCCATTTTGACCTTTCAAGAAGACCTTTAAGGATACAGGCCATAGTCTTTCTAGAACTTCTGAGTGGGTAAAACAAAACCATGTTTTTGGTCATAAAATCAGAAAGATCAGATTTTAAAAATGTGTATGTTGCATACTTAATAGACTACATAGCATAAACATAATTTTTACGTATACTGGAAAAGCCAGAAAGTTAAGTGACTTGTGTTGTGATATTCACATTATTGCAGTGATTTGGAGCTAAACCCCATGGTAGCTCTGAGGCATGGCTATACATACATCTCAGGATCATCACGTCTTCATGATCTTTCCTTCTGTATATGTATTTGTCTTTCTAGATTTCACCTTGAGTTAAATTTTGTCAGATGCCTTTAAAAAAATACACACATGAAGAGCACTCTGGTCCTGTGTGAGTTGCCACTCAGAGGAGGTAATGAGAAGGCATAAGGAGACGTCTCAGAGCAGAAAGGCATATTATCTAGTTGTAGATGTTATCTTGATGTTACTGACTCTTTTTCATTCACTGGGAGATGGTTCCCTCATTCACTGAAGACTCAAGCACTGATTTCCTGGTGTTCCAGGGAAACAATAGGAAAAAACTCCCAAAGCACATTTGATCTCTTGGTATGTTACTGCACATTTGCCTACATTCTGTCTTACAGCAGCACGACCTAGTAATCCTGTACTTAATTTAGAACTTACAGCATTGGCCAGAGTCAGTAGCTAGCATGGCTCTTTGGGCCTTGAACCTAGCATGTCTGGATATATGAGAAAATTCTCAGACAAATCCTCTAAGAATTTAGGAGTCTGTGTGCTCTGTTTTCTTGAGTGGCGATAATTTTGTGGATAATGAAGATGACATTGACTTGCTGGTGGGTGTATCGGAAGAACATTCATTGGGGTTCTTAGACAGCCTCCAACATCTTCTCAGTGTTAAAGATTATGAGCAACTCTAAGATGGTGACCCCTTTAATATCTTCACTCTAAAATCTCCTTCGAGGTCTGGGTTTCCAACTGAGTGGATGAATGGGTTCTACATTAATTTAGCCCTTGGAAACCTTGATTAAAGAGCCATTCATACCTCAAGTGTGAGTGTAAAATAAAGAGTGTTGTCCATGAAGAACATTCAGAAGCTATATATTTATTAATTTAATGCCCTCATTATAACAAATAGCTTGGGAATTTTCTTTTGGGACTTGTTTTAATCATGAGAGAATTTTTGTAGAAAGAGGAAAATAGCTCTAAAAACAGTTATCACTGCTATCTTTCTATTTCCACAATATAAAAATGATTGAATAAATGAAGATGTATATTATACCAAGACAATTACTACAAGGAAGAGTAAGCATATAAAGCTGCTATAGTAACATGATTAAGGAGTAGTCATATGTATATCAGATGTCTCTAATTCAAACTAGTCTGAACCACAACAGTAATTTACTCATGTAATTTCACATAAGGGAGCTCCGTTGGTTTGTTGTTATGTGTCACTCAGTCACCTATGACTCACAGTGACCCTGTGTGCAACAGCTCTGAGACCTGCCCTGTCCTGAGCCTGTCTCACTGACTCAGACATGCCTACCCCCTTTGTCCTAGTTACTGTATCAGTCCATCTCATCTGGGGTCTTCCTCTCCTACACTGTCCCTCCATCCTTCCAAGTATGATGTCCATCTCCAAGAATCGGTCCCTCCCAGCCACATGCCCAAAGTATGTGACATGGAGCTTCAAAATCCTAGCCTCCAAGGAGAAACTTGGTTTTACCCTCTCCAAAACAGGCCCATTTGTTTTCTTGAAGGTCCATGGTATGTTCAAGACTCTCCTGCAGCACCACAACTCAAACGAACTAATTCTTCTTCTGTTGTCCTTAGTCAATGTCCAGCATAGCAAGTACTTGCAAAGAGAATGGCCTGGATCAGACTCACCTTAGTCTCTGAACTGACATCCTTACTTCTCAGTACTCTGAAAAGGTCCCTGATAGCAGATTTACCTAATACAATTAAATTTTTTTTTTATTTTCTGACCGCTGGTGCCGAGAGTTTTGATTATGGAGCTGAGCAACCCTTAACTGTTAACAACCTCAATCTCTTTTCCATTCATCATGGTGCTGCCAGTTGGCACAGTGGTGAGAATCTTTGTCTTCTTGATGTTGACCTCCAATCCATATTGAAGACTATAGTATTTGACCTTCTGCAGCAAGCGCTGCAGGTCCTCCTCGGAACCTAAAACAACTCAGGAATAGATTTGAGGTCTTGAACACTAATGGATGAAGACCAGATGAGCTGTAGGAAGATAAAAAGAATATCATCTACAAATAATGCAGAGGTCATTACAAAGACAGAAGAAGAAGAAAAGACCAAAATGGATATCAGAAGAGAATCTAAATATTGCACTAGAGCACCAAGAAGCCAAAGCAAAGGGAAAAAAAAATCAAGAAGTGAAGGGGCTAAAAAAAAAAAAGAAGTGAAGGGGCTGAATAGAAAATTTCAAAGGGCAGTGTGGGAAGACAAAGTAAAGTATTATAATAAAATCTGCAAAGAACTGAAGTCCAAAAATCAAAAGGGTTAAACTCACTTGACATTTCTTATGCTGAAGAAACTAAAGAACAAATTCAAGCCTTAAGTTGCAATATTTAATAATGCTATGGGTAGAATATTGAATGACCCAGGAAGTATTAAAAGAAGATAGAAGGAGTATACAGAGTCACTATACCAAAATAATTGACTGACACAGAAGAATTTCAAGAAATAACATATGATCAAGAGGCAATGGTGATGAAGGAGGAAGTTCTGATGGCTTTGAAGGACTTAGCAAAAGTAAATAAAATAAATAAAGCCACCTGTTGGCTTAGTGGTACAGAACTATGCTGCCAATCCAAAGAGTACGCAGTTCGAATCCACCAGGTGCTCTGTAGGAGTCTCCTCCCATGAAAATTACTACCTCTTAAAACCTGCTAGAAGAACACTAATGAGTCACTTCTGATTCAACAACAATAATTTCACAATATATCCAATATGATCAAATTAAAAGATAAAAGGAATTTGGGTAGATCTTTGATGTTATCGGTAAGAATATGGCTATAGACTGTATAAGGATGAACACATTGGGGAGTTAATGATGGATTCAGGAGTGGTTGACCCATTTTTTTCTTTCACCTAGGTTTGGAAATATCCTGGGATGGAGACAGTTTTGTAGAAGTCATGGCTGCCCCCCATCTCAAGGGAAAGCTTTGTGGCCTTTGTGGCAACTACAATGGACATAAGCGTGATGACTTAATAGGTGGAGATGGAAATTTCAAGTTTGATGTGGATGATTTTGCTGAGTCCTGGAGGGTGGAATCGAATGAGTTCTGCAACAGACCCCAAAGGAAACCAGTGCCTGAATTGTGTCAAGGGACAGTGAAGGTAAAACTCCGGGCCCATAGAGAATGCCAGAAGCTCAAATCCTGGGAGTTCCAGGCCTGCCATTCAACTGTGGACTACACCACTTTCTATCGGTGAGTACTATTCCAGGGAACGTGGTTGGGGTATACTGAAAGAATAGACTTAGACTCAAAACAGAATATATACAGTCTTTTGGTGTGTAAAACAAAGACTTACAGTGCACAGAGTGAATGAACCCCCTTTCTCTGTAGCGGTTGACCTTGTCTTATATCCTAAATTAAGAAATTTCAACAAGTATTTCAGAGGGACTTCTTGGAGGTGGTGGTGTGTTTCTGTGTGTCTGTAGGCCTACTGTGAACTTGGGGTCACATCAAGATTTTTTTCTATTTTTATCTTGACTCTAGGCTTGAGAAGAACATCCCCAAAGCTGGCTAAACATGACAGTGGTTTTAAGATAGATGCTTCTCTGGGATAAATGACTTTGGCTGTCCTTGGGCTTTGTGGGAGGTCAGTCTTTCTAGGACTGAGGAGGAGCCTAGGACTACCTCAGGATCTCATCCAAACCAAATCTGCTTGTGGAGAATCAGGAAGTGAGTGGGAGATTTCCTATATGTTGGCCTACAACCAACCATTGTGCTCAGAGTCTGAAGAGATGCAGAAACAGGGCTCTAGGCAAAGGAAGGCTGGTCTCTCATCACAGAAGATGCCATGACCTTTTCTAAATCTGATTAACTTACCTTCCTTGGCACAAAGTAGGTGGCATTAAAGAAGCCTTAACATTTACTTTTCATGCTTCAGCTCTGGGTTTGGAAGTTGATGAGTTTGGCCTGGTTGGACTCCCATTTACTGCAGTTCTGTGGGTTCGAGAGCTGTGGCTGTCTATAACTTCAACCATGATGGGTGTGGAAGAAACATGAGAAAAACATGGCCCAAAAGGCCTTGTTTAAGTGATTTGCCTGTGTCCCTTAAAATTAGAAAACTCCTGTGGTCTCTAGCCACAAGGAGGTTATTTTTACTCTTTAATTGCCACCACTTTATTTCCCCAAGTTCTCATTAAATGTGATTTTTTTTTATTTGATCTTTGGACATAAAAGATAAAGTTCTATAAAGTCAGCTCAAAGTGGGGTGGAAAAAAGACCAGCCCTGTCATCACGAATGAACATGGCTGCATCTGCCAAACCATTTGGCTCCAAGTTCAACATGTAACTCTTTCAAGCCATTTTCCTGGTTTAATTGAAATTCTCTGGGTTCCCTTTGCTCTCCTTCTTGTACCACCCACTACACTGACTCCGCTCTTCCTTGTCTGTTGAAATGAAGCAATGTAATGTAGGATTTTTGAATGAATTATGTAACTGTACAAACTAAACTGGGAGAAATTGAACTCTACGTGCCTATCACTGGAACACTTAGTGCTGGAGAACAGTAAGGTCTGTCTAGAGACTAAGGTGTGCCTAATGCAGGCCATGATCTTTTAGATTGCTTGCTGTGCATCTGAGATCTGGACAGTGACTAAGGATGACAGAAGAAGAATCGATGCCATTGAATTGTGATGCTAGAGAAGAGTATTTAACATACCACAAACTGCCAAGAGAATGAAAAGATCTGCCCTTGAGAGGGTGAAACCGAGTTTCTCCTTGAAGGCAAGGATTTTGAAACTCGATCTCAAACTCCATCTCCATCCAGGAGGGGCCAGTCCTTGGAGAATATCATGTTTGGAAGAGTAGAGGCTCAGTGCAAGAGAGGAAGACCCTGGATGAGATGGATTGGCACAGTGGCTGTGGCAATGGGGGCAGGTGTGCCAGAGTCAGTGATGTTGGTGTGAGACAAGACAAAGTTCAGAGTCATTCATAGGGTCACTATGAGTTGTAGTTGACTCAATGGCACATGACACTACCAACAACAACAATAACATCACTGCAAGGTCTGATGGGAAGCAGGAGAACATAGAGATTAAGAACAATGTGGTCACCAAGAACTAAACATCAAGCCCAGCTGTGTTAGCTCAAATTGTTACTAAAGCTTTACAAATTTTAGGGTGTTTTTATCTGTGACATAAAGATAATAATAATAATAAATAATAAACTAAACTCACTCTGAAGAGATATAATTCCATTTAGGTATTATAAACAAAAATGCACGTGTTGAGCACCATGCTTGCACACCATAAATCTGCATTTACTGACTTTTATAATTTTTTCCGGAGTCCCTGAGTGGTACAAATTGTTGACCTATTTGACTACTAACCAATACTTGGGCAATTTGGGTCCCCCAAGAGGCACTGTGGAAGAAAGTCCTGATAATCTACTTACACAAAATGACTGATAACCCTGTAGAGCACAGTTCTGCTCTGACACACATGGTGAAGTCACCATCAATCAGAATTGACTCCACAGAAACTGGTTTATTTGGTTTTGGGGTTGTTTTTTGGTGAGGGGCATTGGGGAAAAGCACTGAAAAATCCCCTGGATATCCAAGAGAACAAAAAGATGTGTCTTGGAGAGGGTGCAGCCAGAGTGCTCTTTGAAGGCGAGAATGATGAGGCTTCACCTCACATACTTTGAGCATGTTGCTAGGATTGGCTATTCCTTGGAGAAGGACATAATGCTGGTAAGGGTGAAGGGTCAGTGAAGGAGAGGAAGACACTCAATCAGGTGGATTGAAATGGTGACTGCTGCAGTGGACTCTTGTGTGTCAGGAAGTGTGAAAATGATGCAGGATAGAACAGGGTTTACTATATGTTGTACTCAACTCGATGGCATCAAATAATAATTAATGATGAATTAAGAGGAATGAGGACCCCCATAGAGGCCTTCCTCATCTTGGTTGTGAGTTTGGATTGAACCAATGTCTGCTTAATACATGTTGGCAAGGCTGGACTTTGCCATAGCCCCACAGCCTACTCCTTTGGACTTTATTCCGTTTCAAAGATGTGTGTTGAGAACACAAATCAGCAGAGATTAGTGCTTGCTTGTAAGTTCCTATTTCTTTGTCCTCTTGTGAGCTGTAACAAGGAACATGAAGTACACGTTGGCAAAAGTCATAAGTCACAACTGTGGCATGCTTGTGCAAGAGAATCCTTGTCTTTAAGTGATCACGTGAAACACCAGCCTCCTTCTGCTATAGCAGGTTCAGCAGCTCGACAGAGGCCAGCTGAAGTGTGCAAGCAACTCAAGGCACCATATTTCAGTAGCTCATGAAAATAGTCTTAGGAACTCTGTCCCTGAGCTTTTCAGATTGGGATATGGGGAAACACGGACATGTGCTCTTCCCTCTTGTGACATGATATAATAGCAGAGAGACCTATCTTCTTTGCTGGACAGAGCAAAAGTGTTCAGGGAGGATGTTTGTTGTTGCATGTTTGGGAGTCAGTGTCACATCACAACTACCCTATATGACACTGGAGAACTGCCTTGAGAGGTTTCCTAAACTGTATCTTCATAGAAACAGATCTATGAATCTTTTCTATTGAGAAGTAGCTGGTAGATTTGAATCCCTGACCTTTTAGTTAGCAACTGAGCACTTAACCTATTGAGCCAGGGCTGCACAATTCTGTGTCTCATGCTGAGATAATGTTCTCACCACGCAGCAGAGGGATGTGTTGTCACATATCTTGCAGTGAAAGTGGCTGACTATGGATGAATCTTGAGCTTTCTTCTTTTCCCTGTACAAATCTGGAAGAAAGGGAGGTTCAATATGAGACAGTAACTTTGTTTTCAGGGTGCTCTAGGAGAACATAAAAAACTCAGTGTTCCTGGGGAGACTGTGTGAAGCAGTAGGCAGAGAATGAGCTGTGTGTCAGGCAAAACCAAGGTGAACCCAATGCTTTCTAGCTGTGTGTCTTGGGCAGCTCGCTGAGTCTCAGATGCTTCCTGTAAAATGGACGTAGTGTTTCCTTTTCTAGGAGGATTGCTCCATTGATGTCTGAAGCTCACACACAGCTCAGCACTTGCCCTAGGTCACCAGCAACATGGCATTGAGTGTGCTGTGATCTTGTTTCCCTCCCCACCGTGGGGACTCACATCCAGGGCCAGTCACTTACATTTCCTGTCACTCACATTTTCTCCCACCCTTGGGGAATTGAGAAGACAGAGATCCTCACCGATGAGTCTGTGATTCACTTTTAAAATTAATCTTCTTTCTTCGCTGGCAATGAATGGCATTACGTAAGTGAGCATTGCAGTTGATTTTAAAAGTAAATTTTCTTTTCTTTTTACAAGAATGGTGTTCCATGCATGACATGTAACTGACACGTAAAAGAAGGGAATAGAAAACTAGCAATCACATGGTATTGGGCCTATAGAATTTCTAATATGAGGCTGGAAACAGTTAGAACCATGACAGTGACATAATTTTATGAGTTGTTAAAGTACTATGAAATCTCTGGATCATGTTTGTTGTTATTATGTGCTGTTGAACTGACTAAAAGTCATACTGACTCTATGCACTATAATTCTGAATCTTGCCCTATCTTGGGCTATTCTCATTGCCTCCAACAAACTCCAGTTATTGTGTCAATCCATGTCATTCAAGGTCTTCCTCTCCTGCACTGTTCCACCACCCTTCCAAGCATGATATCCTTCTCCAAGGACTAGTTCTTCTGGCAGCATGTCCAAAGTATGTGAGATGAAGCTTAAAAAAATTCTTGCATCAAAGGAGCAACTTGTTTTTACTCTCTCCAGGACAGAACCTGTTTCTTTTCTTGGCAGTCCATAGCATGTTCAATACTCTTCTCCAGCACCACAACTCAAAGACATCGATTCTTCTTTTGTCATCATTAGTCATTGTTCAGCTCTCTGATACATAGCAAGTAATTGTGATGTCTTTGGCCTGAATCAGGCACACCTTAGTCTCTAGACTGACATCATTGCTCTTCAGCAATCTGGAGAGGTCCCTGGTAGCAGATTTTTCTTAATGCAATTTGTCTTTTGATTTCCCGATTACTAGTGCCAAAAATGTTGATAAAAAAAGACCTGGTGATCTACTTCTCTAAGATTGACCCCACCAATTCCAGGGCCTTCAAAGGTATTCCTTCTCATAGTGATCCTTCATCCAGTTTCCAAGGCTGTAGGGAGGATACTTAAAGGGAGGACACTGTTCGTCTACCTCCCATCGA